ATGATATATGATCTCATTCAGTCGAAGAAATGGTCTTGTAGACCAGCAGTATCACTGTTGGTAGTATTGTTTCATGCAGAGCTCAGTTGGCACCAGAGAGAATTTACAATATAATGTTGAACGTACCGATACATGATCACGACATGAGTGCAGAAGAGACACAGGTCATCTTAGTTAGAACAATTGTTTCATGCAAAGCTCAGTCGGCTGAGAAAGAATTTACAAAAATAATGTTTTAAAAGCGAGTACATGATCACTGTATGAGTGAAGAAGGGAAACAAGTGATCTAAGTTAGAATTATTGGTTCATGCAAAGCTCAGTTGGCACCAAAAAATAATAATACACGCCGATGTATTGAATAGCAATGTATGATCAGTGGTATGAGTGCAGAAGAGAAGCACGAAATCGGGTAATTTCAGTTAGAATTATTGTTTCATGCAAAGGTCAGGTGGCACCGGGAAAGATACACAAGTCTATGGATTGAATACCGAAATATGATCATCGTACGTGTGCAGAAGAGAGACACGAAAGCAAGCCAAGAGAAAAATAAAGGGAAGAAATAAAACGCAGATACATTAAATTAGAAGGAGAGTGTGGTCGTCTGCGCACATCATGTGTCTTGAATCGCTCGCGATATAATTTCTTAATGATGAAGGCAAAGGCACTGTTCGTGTAGTGAAGCCCTCCCTCCCTCCCTGTTCACACGGACCACACCGCTTGCGAAATCCGGCCTCCATAAGTCCGGTCCAAGACTCATGAAGCGCCTTGTGCACTGCCACTGGCTGTGAATGGTGGTGAGCCTCGATGTGTCCATTAAACTCGACCTCCATTTCAAACAATCAATTGGCGAGAAAGTGACAAAATCCGTATACGCCGATCGAAGTAAGTTGTCGAGTGAGACTACTCACTGTATGCAGGTCCACCTTCCAAATTCCTACAAATCCATGACACAATCTTGACCGAAGAAGCTCTATCTGTCCTCAGAGGCGGGAGATAAAATAATGGAGAGGAGAGAGAGCTCTTGAATGCGGAGGTGGCTGCATTTTATAGTGGGAAAATATTTCGGCGAACTCGAAGAAGTGTTCGCAGAGGGAGTGGAGGTGCGCACTCAAGCGCCTCTGACGAACCCGGTGCTTGGGCTTGGGCTTGGGCTTGGGCTCGAATAGAGCCAGGAGAAAGGTCGAAGAGAGGCGCACGGGCCCTGCCTCCCCTGGTGGCGTATGACGATGTGCAGGCAGCGGAAGAACCGGGGGCAAGGAATGATGATCGCCTCGGCATTTTGGACCGGGTTCAAACATGGCAGCGCGACCTGGAGAAAACATTGCTCGAAAACACATCTCCCGTCGCGGCCCCAATAATTCATAAACTAGCGAGACATGTTTACGAGGACCTTCGAAGCCGGCACAGTGAAAGGGAAAGCGGTCGAGGGCCCGGGGGCTTGCAAGTCTTCCGCCTAAGGAAGCAACGAAGGAGGGAAGGAGGGAAGGAGGGAAGGAGGGAGGGGGGTAGTGGGAAGGCGAAGGGGGGAAGGGGGTGGGGGTGGGGGAGGGGCAAAACAAACAAACATATCTCTGGAGGAGGGGCTCAAAAGTTCACTGTGACGGGGGCAAGTCTTCCGGCCAAGGAAGGAAGGAAGGAGGGAGGGGGAAAACAAACAAACATATCTTTGGAGGAGGGGCTGAAAAGTTCACTGTGACGGGAGTGAAAAAGTCTTGCGAGATCTAGAAGAGCGACTCTGAGATAACACGTATTGATTAGTTTAATGGGCGCGGGGTGAAACGGCCAAGGCCGAGCTTCCGTCAGCAGCAAACAAGAGCCATTGACAATCATCGCAATGGCAACGAATTCGTGCTGCGGCACTGTGGACATGCTCAGCCGGTCAAATGTGGATAAACTTAAACCCGGTGTTTTTAGTATAAGGGGGCAGCGCCAGGGACAGCAGCATCAGCAACTTGATGATGATGGGGTACCACTCGCGCGTTTATAGCCCCCTCCCGCTGCAGTAACTTTTCCCAGGCCTTTACTCGGCAGGAAACACTGGCCCAGCCCCTGCGACTAGCCCCGCCCCGCCCGCCGGATTTGGCCAGCCGGGAAGCGGGAGTGCGTCGGGGACGACGACAACTCGGCCCAGGGCTAAACATGGCGCTTATTTATCTTGTAAGAAAGTGCAGCGCCATGGACCGGCGAAAATAGAAAACAAATTGGGGTGGACTAAAGGTGGTCGTGAATTGTAATAAACAAGGCGAGAAAGGACAGCAACAGAAGCTTGACCGATGGGCTAAACTTGGCCCCGGTTAGTCTCGCCGGCGACGTGGGCACTATAGATTGGGTAAAATAGTCGGATCGCTGGTAGACCCCGGATCACTGTTGGCCTCCTTTGTCATGGGCTCGACCACCCCAGACAACGACCACTTGGCCGAGGCCATAGTTGGATATAACCAATGACAGGTGCTTACGAAAAGATGGGAAAGGGCGCCAGCGGGGGCCGCTTAGGACATGAAATTATCAAATTCCAAGTGACAGTGGGGCGATCGCTCTCCCCGGGATGGGGTGTTTAGGACATGGAAATTTATAATAATAAGTCGAGGGGAGCGAAACGCGGTCGATAAGCTTGATAAAGCCGATGTTGCTTAGGACATGGAACTGAGGTGGCCGAGCTATTAATTAATGGCCGCGGGGGCGATGAGGAAGCGGAGCAGGGAGAGGAGTGGACAGGGCCGGGCCAGGCGGGGTTGGGGCAGGCCCAGGGCCAGGGGCAGCGGAGTGAAGCGTTCCCCTTTAGCGGGAAAGGGTAATCGCCGCATATACTCGGCTCTCTCCTCCACAGCTGGAAAAAGTCGCAGGCCAAAAGGACGGACGGGCAGCGGAGTGGGGGGTGGGGGTGGGGGTGGGGGAGTGGACCGATGGTCCGTCTTTCCTGCGGTCTCCTCCTTCGTCTTTCCGGTCCTTCTTTCCTTATTTCTCTCTTTCTTTCTCCAACCCATACACTCACATCTGGAGGATTTAAATGATCCATGTTTGCGTCGCCACGTAGCCGGTGTATCTAGAAGATCGGATGGTATGCGCATACATCGACATCGACATCCACATCCTGCCACCTCCATGCATGCATGCATGCTTGCATAAAGGAGCCGGTGGGGGCGGGGATGGTTATGGAAGGGGGGGGGGGGGGATGTGTTGGGAGGGGACGATGAGGTACGAGAGAAAGCTTCTTTTGTTTCCTTCTCGTCTTTTCGGATCAGCAGTGCTTCGCAGGCTAGCCCCCAGTGCTCCTGCCGCTGCCGCTGCAGCTAACACTGCTGTTGATCGGCTCGGCTCTGCCTGCTGCTGGCTCATCGCCCAGCCCCTCCCCCTCCCCCACCCCCCCTTCCCCCCCGCCCGCCCGCCAGCCCGCCCGCTTGCCCGCTTAGCCCCGCTAGGTAGCTAGCTAGGTGCTAGTTGCTGGCGCTGCGACAGCAGCAGCGATCAGCCGCTTCTGCTCCGCCTCCTGCTTTTACTTGTGCGACCTGTTAGCCCTACGCGTGCTGTAGTCCAAAAGGTACAAGCCCAGCCCCGCGGAGAGGTTGGCAATATCCGAGAGGGAGGGAAGCGGAGAAATAGGGAAAGGAAATCGGTCCCAGATGGTGGACGTCGAGTAAGGGAAGGAAGCCCAAGGAGGGGAAGGGAAGGTGGAAGGGGGAAGGGCGAAGGCTGGTGGTAAGGCGAGGACGGAAGGAAAGGAAGAAGGGGGGAGTAAAGTAAAGAAAAGAAATAGGGAGGGGGAGGGGGACGTAGAGAGAGTGAGAGGGCCGGAGAAGGGCAAAAGTAAACGAAGAGCGGGGACGGGGAGGGGGGCAATTGATTAGATTGGATGGAGAGGGGGGGCTGCTGCTGGTGGGTGCTACAGAGAGGGGGGGGGGGGGAATTTGTCTTTTTGTTTTGTTTGGACTGTGGAAGGAGGCGATCGCTGACCTGACGAGCTGAGCCGAAAGAGGTGATGGGATGTGATGTGAGAGGTGAGTGGGTTAGGTGAACTGGGTGAGACCTGCTATGGTGATATGATCTGCTTCCGAGCCGAAGGGCCTACGACGCTACAGTGAACCAGCAGCAGCAGCTGCTGCAGAGTAGTGCAACTCACCCCCCCACCCCCATCGCTCCCTTTTCCCCTCGCGACGTCTTTTTCTTACCACCGGTCGCCGAAGAGAAACCCAGAGACGACGTCGTCGTCGTCGTCTTCGTCGTCGGCGTAGAAGCGGACTCGGTATTCTTTCCTGTACGAGGATTGGATTGACGGGGAGGAGCGAACGAGTGAATGGGGATGGGCGTCGTCAGGCGGGGGGGTGGGGTTGGGCTTGGGGTTGGGGCTCGGGCTGTAGAGGGGAGAGAAAGAGAGGGCGCAACGTACGGGAGAAGGAGGAGGAGGGGGTGGGGTCCGCAACTGGAGCGAAACTGGGGCGGCAGGCAGCCAGGCAGAGGAGGGGCAAGCAGATTGGAACGGGACGGGAAGAGGGAAAAAGAACAGGGGACTCGCAGCAGGAGGGGAAGGGGAAGGGGGGATTGGAGGGAGGCGGGTGGACATGACACAGGAGGGGATGTTGTTGTGGGAGGAGTGCTGGCTTTGAGGTCGAAAGCAGTGTAGCACTAGCACGAAGGAGAGGGGGAGGGAAGGGAAGGGTGGTGGGGGGAGGGGCAAGGGGCAAGGGGGAAGGAGGGGGTTGGAGTAGCACTGGTGAGAAGGGACAGCGCAGTGCAGTGTAGTGCAGTGCAGTGAGTGAGTTAGAACAGGGAACGGGGTTTCACTCTGATCCCAGGGCCAGAAGGGGAAGAAGGGGGTTGAATAAGGAAGGGCAGAAGGGCAGGAGAGGGGGCAGCAGGAGAGGACACAGACGGAAGAGAGGGCGACTCAAAAGACAGAAGCCAGGGCAAGAGGAGAGAGCGTGAGCGAGTGAGAGGGAGAGGGAGGGAGAGAGAGACAGAGAGAGAGAGAGAGAGAGAAGAGGAGAGGGGAAGAAGGGATGAGGGGAAGAAAGGGAGGAAATGAAGTGGAGGGAGGGGATGAACAGGGGGCCAAGGATGTGACGAGGATGCTATGCACCTCCGTCTGACACTAACAAGACAAACGCCTCGCCACTGGCTGTTGCTCTGCGCACTGCAATCCCTGCACTGTTGTCGCTGCACTCCCTGAGTTTTGCAGTCGCTCCCTGACGAGCGGGCCGAAGAAAGAGAAAAAGAGCCAGCGTTTCTTCTGCTCGGGCGAGTGTGAGTGTGTGATTGTGTTCGTGTGTAGTGTAGCGTTCGCAGTCTGTAGTAAGTACGAGAGCGTACTCCGAGAGTTTGTATCACATCACGGTAGATAGAAGAAGCAGGAGCCGCAGCACCACCACCAGCAGCACCAGCACAAGGAGTAGTAGCAGCAGCAGCAGCAGTTTTAGAATTCCGGGTACGGAAGCACCAGCACCAGCAGCAGCAGAAGAAGAAGAGGAAGGAATATGTTTGGTTGCCCTCCATCTCTCCTCTCTCTCCCTCCTCTCTCTCTCGCTCGCCCTCTCTCTCTCTCCCCGTGTTACCTCGAGGCCGTCCCGTCGGTCAATCCTAGGTCTGTCGTTCACATCCCCCCTGCGATGCTGGCCCTCGACGCGAGAGTGTAATTGGAGGCTATGTTGATGTACAGAAGTAGAACTATGCTGCATCGGTCTTTACGGTCTCTTTATTGAACATATCTCGCACACTTTTCCTTCTCAGTCAGACCTCAATCTTATCTGCGTCTTCCGCCCCTTGGTCGTCGTCCTTCCTCCCCTCCCCTCCACTCGCCTCGCCTCGCCTCCTCAACTTTCCGCATCCTTGTTCCATAACCTGACATTAGTTCCGTGCTATTAGCAGCAGCAGCAGTCGAGCTCGTCGTTTAGATTGCGCAGGTTTGCCTGATTGTGTATTGGTCTCTGTTTCGTCGAGCAAAGGCTCGCACGTCCTGCTTCTTCTTCTTGTGCATCGCGCTCGCCAGCGCCCGTCTCCCGAACACGGCTCGTGGCGCATTCGGCCGACCCCGTCTTTTGCTCGCGCCTGTCAATCCCAGGTCCCAGGCCCGTCCGACAAGCGGCCGCATCTCGGCAGCGCTCGCCTTCAATCATCAGGCCGCGGGCGCGCTGTGTCGTCTCGGACGACGAAGCAGAGGCGAGCTCATGGTTCAATATAGGGTTGCCCAGATTGGGAAGACTGGGGAAGACTTCGATTGAAGTTGCGCGCGGCGGAGGACGAGGAGGACGACGACGTCCACGAGCGGCAGCCGCAGCAGCAGCAGCAGCAACGAAGCTGTCACGGTCGAGATTCAGCAGGTATCGAGTGAAGGTCAGGGAGAGAGACAAGGCTCGGTCGGTCGGTCGCACAGGCAGCTTCTCCGCTAGAGTCAGGGAAAGATAGTGCGCTCGGTTGTAGACGAGGAATGGCAATGGTCGAACCGGAGCTCTCGTCGATTTTCAGCCTGCACGCGCAGCAGCAGCAGCAGCAGCAGCAGCATCACCATCAGAGCAGCGCCCAGCAGCAGCAGCAGCAGCAACAACAACAGCAGCAGCATATGATGGACTGGTCGTCGCATGGCCAGGGGGGAATGGGGCGAGGAGGAGGAGGCATGAATCACAATGAGGAAGTTCCGTCCTACGCGCAAGGAGCAGATATGTACCACCATCCCTACACCCTGTCACCCCAATCGCCCTTCGACATGGGCGAGTACCACCATGTCGAGAAGCAGGAGCCGCCGCACTCCAATTCCTCGGCCGAGTACGAGTACATGAATGTGAACCCGCTGACGCAGGTGGGCTCGAACTTGGGCGGGGGATCGCACCACCAGGGCGGCTTCCTGACCTCGGCCTCGAGCTTCATGACGTCGCAGTCGTCGGCCCCGAGCTACACCAACCCCGGCGGTGCAGCGCCCGGAGGCGTGCTGGAAGAGATAGATGGCATCCTGCGCAATTTCGACATCCCGCAGCAGCACCACCATAGCTTAGACATGGATCCGCTCTTCGGCGACCTCATGTCGCTGCCGCAGCAGCAGCAAGCGCTCTACAATGGAGGTCACACGGGCCTGGGACCTGTGGCGCAGGACCCCTTCGCCCCGCTTAACATGATATCCATGGAGGATACGCAGGCCGTCGAGGACCTCGCTAAATCGCTGCAGGTCGAGATCATGTCTGACAGCTCGCAGCTCGACAGTTGCAGCATGAACTCCGAGAACTCGCCCTACATCTACGGCAGCGCTTCGCAGGCCGCCATGCACAGTGGCTACCTCGATGCGGCCACGAGGGGCGCATCGACAGGGGGATGGCAGCAGCAGCAGCACCCGCAGCAGCAATCGATGAAGCTGCAAGGTGCTGGGCTTCTGCGCAAGAGCTCGAACCAGCAGCAGCAGGTGAGCGTGATGACTTCAGCCGGGCTCGGAGGAAGCTACCACAACATCGAGCAACCGGCATTCCAGTACTCGCGAGGGCCGACGGCATACGGGCCGAATCAATCGATGGCGTCGCACAGCTTGCAGTCGAGCGTAGGGCACCAGGAGCAGCAGCAGCAGCAGCAGCATCCGGACATCGGGCGATTGCACCTGAGCGGGGGGCACCCGGGGCTGAGCAACGCGCTGCCGGCGCCAGGGTCGGTGATGCCAGCGACGGGATTGCAGCTGGTGCATTTGCTGCTGGCGTGCGCCGAGGCGGTGGCCGAGGATAACCTGGAACTCGCGAAGGTGATATTGGTGCGTCTCAGAGGACATGTCCTGCCGGATGGGAATCCCATGCAGCGCCTGGCAGCCTACTTCGAGCAGGCGCTGCGAGCGCGGCTGACGAAGGAGAACAACTCGCCGATTTTCAAGGGGCTGACGGGCGACAAGAGCATCCCGCAGGCCGAGGTGCTGGAGGCGTTCAGCGTGTTCTACGATTGCATCCCGATCGGCAAGTTCGGGCATCTGACGTGCAATCAGATTCTGCTGGACGCGGTGGAGAAGGAGCGCACGGTGCATGTGCTGGATCTGCAGATATGGCACGGAATGCAGTGGCCCGCGTTTCTGCAGGCGCTGGCGCTGCGCCCCGGCGGGCCGCCCAAGCTGCGCATGTCGGCGCTCGGCATCGATCTCAAGGAGCTCGAGGAGACGGGCGAGAAGCTGCAGGAATGCGCGCGCAACCTCCATGTGCCCTTCGAGTTCTGCCCGCTCGTCACCGAGCTCGTGCAGTTCGAGCCCAGCATGCTCGACATGCGCCGCGGCGAGGTGCTCGTCGTCAACAGCTTCGTGCAATTCCACTGCCTGCTCAACAAGGGCCCCGATCTGCTCACCAAAATCCTGCGCGGCCTGCGCATGCTCAACCCGCGCGTCGTCGCCTTCGCCGAGAACGACGGCAACCACAACAGCCCCTCCTTCCTCACGCGCTTCGTCGAGTGCCTGCGCTACTACTCGGCCGTCTTCGACGCCTTCGACGCCTCGCTGCCGCCGGACTCGCCCGCGCGCATGAAGATGGAGCAGATTTTCGCCGCGCAGAAGATCCGCAACATCATCGCCTGCGAGGGGCCCTCGCGCGTCGACGGCCACGAGACCATGCGCTACTGGCACAAGCGCATGGAGACGGCCAACTTCAGAAATACCTCGCTCAGCAGCAGAGCGGTCTCGCAGGCCAATCTGCTGCTCAATCTCTACTACTCCAATGGCTACACGCTGAACACGAGCGAGTGCGGCTACCTGGCGCTGGGCTGGCACGGCATGCCGCTGATGGGCGTCTCGGCCTGGAATTGATCCTCGCGCTCGAGATCTCTCTCTCTCTCTCTCTCTCGAGCTGGTTTTGTGTCTGTCGCAGGCCCCGACGACGGGCCCGCCCAAATTCGTCACTCTTTCATATCTTTCCCCTCACACTTACACACGGGCTTCGCTTTTCGCCGAGCTATCCCCTTGTACAACAAACAGATCATGTGAAGAAGTTTTGAGACGCGCACGGGTCAATTAAGGTCAGTCAGTCATGACGACGACGACGATGTTGTTGATGATGATGATGATGCGAGCAGCGAGCAGCAGCAAGCAGCAGCAAGCAGCGAGCGAGCGAGCGAGCAAGCAAGATTTAGAGATGGCGAGTTGGCTATCGGCTCGCCGGGTCAATAATGGTTAGTTTAAGAGCTGATCGATCGATCACAGATAGTAGACTGGGGTGGGTGCTCATCAGCGATACTCTGTCATGACTGCTGGTTGAAGTTGAGGAAGTTGTGGTGGTGTTGTGTAATCGAGCACACCCTTACCAGTTACTGGTACCAGCTTGTAAAATATACGATTGGAATGCGGGACGTCGGTGCAATAATTGATGTCCATATTTCTACTTTTAAGAAATCCTTCTGTCTCAGTTGGGCTTCACGGAATCCAGTTTGCTATCTTCTCTTTGCAGGAGGGAGAGGATGATGATGATGATGATCTTCGGCAGAGCTTCACAGGGTCCGGCGAGCCCGTGGGGCTTCTTGACACCTTTCGGGATCGGCCCCGTGGTGGCACCAACACCAGCAGCATTAGCATTAGCAGCAGCAGCAGCGGCTCGGTGTGCGTTTCGTGCCTGCTTGCTGGCGTGCGTGCTTGCTCGTGTAATGTGCTCGGGGGCCTCGTCCCGCCTCTTGCAGGAGTCGGGTGTTCGTTTAGCTTCGATGAATCCATCACCTTAAGATTTGGGCTTACAGTTTTCTCTAAGCGATTCTGCCTGGATGCTGAAGATGTTATAGACGAAGAAAACCAATAAAACATTGTAGGGTAGAGGTTAATGATTACGGTGATATCGCAACTTTTTCTTCGAGTGTGTTATTTTTTGACGAGCTGCTGCCTCCAAGTCGCTCCGATGTAGAGTTTGATTGGAAGACCCCGGTTGTCATGGCTCCGGTGACTCATGATTTTCAATGAAGTTTCAATGTGGAGTTACTCTCTGCCTGTTCGTCGCCCAACTCTCTCTAGCAGCACCACCACCAGCCCCCATCCATGGATTTATTACCTCGTGTGACGAACCCCCGCTCACCTCCAGGTGCTTCCACATTCTCTCTTTCCGCCTTCTCTCTCTCTCTCTCTCTCTCTCTCTCTCTCTCTCTCTCTCTCTGTGATGTAACGATCTGCCACTCTGATGGCCAAATTTTCTCTCGAACCGTATTGTGGTCGTGCGATTGCATCGAGTACGTCACGTCGTGTGGTGGCCCATGTATGTTGCGTGTTGCTATCGTGGTATTGCCACCGGGGGAACCCAGATACGATGTGGGACAAAATCCCTCCCCCCGCAGCCCCCGCCCCACTGGCCCAGGTCCACTTTACCTGCGAGACGGGAAGACTTGCCCGTCTCGCGCCCCTCCCCCACCCCCACCCCTTCCAGCGAAGACGTCGGTCAAATCTCGGGCTTGCGGTCAATCCCATCGGCCAGTTCTCTGCGCTTCGCTTGCAGCCGCAGACGCGCCAGCATATCTCCTTGCCCACCCCCACCCCCAACCCCAACCCCAGCCCCGATCGTAAAATCGCCGTGGCCCTCGTTGCCTCAGATTACACCGCCGGAATGCTCAGTTCCGAAGTGGGCGTATTGGCTCAGTGTAATGGGAGGGGCTACCGAAATAGTGGCAGTGGCAGAGGCTGTGGTCGACGGAGGGGTCAGGGAGGCGCTCTTCTTCGTTCGGGGGCTCCAGGGATTACGGGAGGGGAGGCAGGAGGAGTGAAATCCCGGAAAGCGTCGGGTTGGGTCGGGGCGAGGGGCCCTCCGCGCTGCCAATTTTATCTCGTGCTGATATATCTGCGAAAGAAGCAACCGAAAGCGATCGTCGCGCAGCGGAAAGCCGCTTTTGCTTTCAGTTTTCGATGGTCAGTCGCCCTCGCTCTTTCACCCCCCTCGCTCCCCGTCACCGAAAGGACTAATGGTTCGGGGCTAGCGAGCCCCCGAAAAGCAGGGGCGGGACGGGCAGACAGTGCGATAACATGCGCTACTTGTGGGTATGACAGACGCAAGATAGTTTGACGATCGATGACACGGCCTCGCGTTTGGTCCACCCAATTCAGATCTCGGCCTCCGCCCGAAGCTGAGACGCCAATTTCTGTGTCCGGCATCAGCAGCAGCAGCAGCTGCAGCATTTGCTGCTGCTGCTGAGCCATGCTCAACGAAGCCCAACATAGAGAGAGAGAGAGAGAGCCCCAAATTCTTTTGACCCCCTGCAGCACTTTCAGGTAACGTGTCCGATATCGCCTGCAGTATCGGGCTGCAATATCGGGCTGACAGTTCACGCAGACAGAGAAAATCACATTAACTCACTTTCACCCGTGGTCGCCCTGGGAATGTTTGGGGGCAGTCCGGGGGCTGCGATTCGGTTCAATACTCTCGTTCGGATGGCAGCCCCGCCTCGGCGAATGCGGGGCATCCGACGAGAGAGCGACGTCTGCGGCATCCGGAAGGGGGGCTGGGGCTGTGGCAGGCACTGGGCCATGAGCCATCGCACTGCGTAGCCGAACTCAAGTGGCGGGGGGAGGGGGGAAGGGGGAACGGGGAGGCCAGATGCCTCCACACTGATGCCCTAAAATAGAAGCCATTTGGCTACAGCATAGACCTGCGAAGCAAGCGAGAACTTAGTTGTAAAGGTCAAAAGATCGTGAACGCTACAGAGCTTTATTTGGGGCTCGGTGGGGGAGCAGGAAGAGTCAGCCTTGGACAGGGGCTTAATAAGACAAGCGCGGATTAGTGCGCCCGCGCTCGCGCGAACTTTATACACTCTTCCCGAGAGTCTTCCCTACAAAGCTACCGTCTCCCAGGTTTTCTGCCGTTAAATCTGATGTGCTTCATTGATGTACATGCCATCATCGAGCTACAGAGCCCACCCCCCCCCCCCCCCCCCCCCCCCCCACCCCAACCAAGAATCCGATCCCATCATCATCTAAACTGCCCCCAGTTCGCCTCAGCAGCCCCCCCTCCCGCTACCCCCTTCCCCCTCCCCCTTCCTGGTGCTTCCCCGCATCCGAGGGGGAGACACAATCAGAATGTCTTCCTTACCCCATCTCGGAGATGGGGCTTCGCTCCATTAAACCCGCCTTTGGTCAAGTTTTAGGACATGCTCCGTCCAGTCTCCGTTCCCTCCGCTTCTCGTTTACCCTCGGGCTCGGTTGGAACTTGCGAAGGAATCCTGAAGAGGGGGGGAATGATTTGGACGTCATTAAGCCCAAGCATTAATCGAAAGAGAGAATGCAGGCTCGAATCGTTGTGGTCAAAAGTCGAGAGTGGTCAATTAGCATCTTGTGACGATGAGCAATGAGTCCATATCACTGCGTCGATAGCTGGCATCTTGGCACCTTCGAGATCTTCAGAGCTCGAAGGTGCGGCTCGCGGCGAGATCTCCTGGCGTCTATTAAATTAGTAAAATCGCGGCCAATTCTTCCTGCCGATGTAGAGAGAGAGCTCAGAAAGTGATGCCAACGATTGATTCTCCGTCGGCCATGAATCTAAGCCTGACAATAAATCGCTCGAAATATCCTCCACATTATTCGTGTTCTTATTCGGCCTTGAAATAAACAGCGAGTTTCAGTGAAAATCATGAGAAGTCAGGGCCGAGGGAATCCTCTTGAAACTGGAGTACCGTCGCGACGGGGTTTGAAAATTTCTCCACACTTTACAATATTGAAGAGCGCCTGTAGAAATGCTCGCCCACCTGCCAGGGTCAGGCTTGGCGCTGCCCGCAAAGCTTGGCCCCTCTCCCTTGTGAGAAACGGGAAAGCCCCAGGTGACGTCAACCCCGGTAAGCACTCACACTCCTTCCCCAAATGGATGGTGCAGAAATCGGGGGCTGGGGGCTGGGGCTGGGGTTGCAGAGAGTACAATTTGATCGGCGGGAGACTCCTTCGTACCACTACTACTTCTACTACTACTACACTTCTACCACCTCTGCTCCTTCTGCTGCTCCTGCTGCTGCTGCACTGTCTGATCGATCAGCACTCGGCAGCTGGGGGAAGGGGGAAGGGGGGGGGGGCACCACCAGCATCAGCCGCAGCAGGACGGGGACCAGTGTGGCTGTCCCAGGTTTCGCTTACTTTACGCAAGGGAAAAAGGGCAGCCGAGTAATATAGCCACCAAAGGATGGCGAGACCCATCAAGTCGTACAGGGAAGACACCGGAGGACGAGGGAGGGGTGGGATGGAGCTAGCTAGCCCCCCAATAGCATCACTATGACCAATACGTCACCCTGCACCGAAGAGATCTTTTTACGAGAGAGGAGAGTGTGGCTTTGCCTCCCCCCAGGGGCAAGGGACGGGACGGGACGGGATGGGATCGGACACGACTGAATGATTGATTGATTGACCGAGGACCGACCGACCGAGCGGCAACCGGTTTTCGTTGCAGCAATACCGCCTTACTTGCCAAGGCTCTCTCTACCACCTCTCTGACACTTTTCAACTCCTGCTTTTTGCAGCCATCTGGATCATGAGCTGAGCCAGCCAGCCAGCCAGCCAGCAACCATATCTCCGCAAAGTTTGTCCCACACGTGGTATCTGCATTACAGTCTTTGTTTCACTCCGCCTTCCACCTCAGCTACGCTAGCCCACAATCATTTTCCGTTTCCAAAAGCTCTCGGCCCCCAAAATATAAACTGCCCCTGGTCCTCTCATCCGAGTGAAAACCCCCAATTCAGCAAAAAGACATGTAGCCAGCTAAATGGCAGAGCCCCCGTCTAAGCCCTTTCCTTAGTAGTGACCAAACGTGTTAGTCTTAGTAACTCCTCGTCTGGAGATCACCAAAGCTTTGTCCTCCTGGCTAGTGCAGCAACATCGGCTCTTGTTGTCCCTGGCCGGGGGTAGTCGCGCGCACGAGGACGGAGGAATGGCGGTCACGGAGAGTGAGTCGGACGGAAGTCAGCGTCCGTCGTGACTATGTGCGTCGATCGGACGGAACGGGAGTCGGGACCACAAGGAGAGCAGATCGACGGCGGCAGGCGCGGCAGGAGTCCGACGGGCCAGATCACGAGCCTCATGAATAGGACTCGTCGTCGGAGGACCCACGTTTTCAATAAGCGGGCCAGGCGATTTCCGTAACTGATCCATTGATGAACGACGGGTCCTTTATCCCTGAGGCGGAGAAGCCCAGCCCCAGCCCCAGCCCCTTACCTCCTGGATCCTGACCGACTCACGCATCATGTCTTAACCCCTCGCAAGATAAGGAGGGGGCTTGGAGGTCCACGCAACTGTCTGGTGACTCTGGTCTGCCGCCCTGATCCGTCCGGTAATTGTCTGCTAATTCTCACTCGTCGCAGAACATGCATACGAGGGCCCGAGGGGGAGGGCGGGGGCGGCCGGTCGCTGGCTGGCTGGCTGGCCCCTGCCGTACCCCAATCCATTCATTTACATGAGCATGAGCGGAGAGCGAGTCACAGCATAGAAAAGCATCGTTCATCTCATGTGCCGATATTTTGCCCCCCGGCCTGACTGCCCCCGACGATTATTGGTAACCGGGGTCCGCCCGTCCCGCGGGACCTGACCAAGAGCGGTGCATCCGAGACTTCCCCCCCCCCCCCCCCCCCCCGCACTTACTGTGCTCTACTGTACTGCACCGAATTACCCGGTTCACGGAGTGGGGCAACGTGGTCGGAAGGAAGGAAGGAAGGAAGGCGGAGGGTAAGGTAAAGGAAAAGGGAAAAGAAGCGGGCAAGGACGTTAGTACAAAGACCACGTGTGAGAGTTCGCAGAGTAATCGCCAGCGCTCGGCCAGCGGCCAGCCCCCAGCTTTTTGACCGGTCATCCTTTATCCTTTCCGTGCCAGCCCCCCTCCTCCCCTCGGGCCCTTCTTCGCTCATCTCCACCCCCTCCCCTCGCTTCCTACGGGCTTACGGCTCACCAGGTATAACCAACTCGTGGGTGTGCTCTTGCGGTTTAATGGTGGCAGGCCGGGCCCCAAAAGCGCCCGTCGGTCGCGTCCGTCCATCGCCAGATACTCAGACAGCCTCTTTCGATCCATCGGTCCGTGACCGGAAGACGGTGGCGGGGCTCCAGGCGCAAAGCTGCGGGTCGGCGACGCCAGGCCTGTGTGGCGGGTCCGGTCGGGACTCGGGGCTAGACTGCACTAGCCGGGGCTAGCTACCGTCTCGAACCGGTAATGCTGGGGGAAGGGGGAAGGATGGGGGAAGGCTGGGGGCTGATGCGGGCTCGAAAGGACAGCGTTCGATGTCGTCTTAGAGCATATCGGCAGAAACCTAATTTTATTATCGGGCCGGCGTGTGGTCTGGCCATCGCCATCGTTCGATCCGAACAGTTATGGAGCCTGACAGCATGAATTTACCGTGATTTTGGAATTGTTCGGTTAACTCTATTCAGGTCTTGCAGTGATCTCACTGTAAGATCCACATTATTACTGACCGCCCGTGACGAGTCACACCGGGCGAACCTTTGCTTCCGCTACTGTACTGTGACAGGCGATTCTACGGTATTCGGATGGGCAAACTCTCGTTTCTTGCTGCGGGGTTAAGTTGTGGGAGTGGCGAGAGATTACGACTTCTTTACGAGTCAGACGTCGCTGAGTTCGCTGCGGATGGTTGTTGTTGTCATCCTTTACAATTGTACCTCTCGGCAGGCTTGCGGTACCGCGGTCGAGAAGCTCGTGATAGGCTACTTTCTGCTGTTCTTTCGTTGTATGTCTAGGGATATTTCCTCTGATGGTCGCTCGTACAACTGCTCGGTATGGTACTTGGCTTCCATAAGTCTGCGGGCGAATTCCGTGACCCAAATGCGCCATTTCCATTTGTCCGATGTTCTCACTCATTCATCTTTGATGCTCTCTTGGCTGCCGCTTGTGCAGCAGCCCCAGCAGCACAAGCGGCGTACTTGCTCGCCTCTCGACCTCGAGCGAATTCCATGGAAACCTCGCAGCGTTTCGACTTTGCTCGTGTTCTCGCTCGCCCGCTCGTGATGACTTTGATGCCTTGGCTACGTAAGTGGTACGTGCCGCTTCATGAGTTTTCCCAGCCATCTCCTCAGACGAATACAGCATTCCAATCTGTATGATGTCCTCACTCATACATATGCGATGACTTCAAGATACCCTCTCTTGCATCCCTTTTTGAGGTATCTATCTCTGCCTTTCCTCCAGCACTCCTGCGGGATGACTCTCATTGGCTCCATGAGACTTTCAAGCCCTGATTCGCTCCTTCATACGACCTTGCGTAGGATTGTCTCATTGCGAGATTTTCTCTTAAAACACCGGAAATTACGCACCACGAACTAGAATAACTGGAACCCCGGCAGTCGACAAATCGACACTTTGGCCATGGCATGGAGTCCTAACCGACGTATGTACTCCACTTCCTCCTACCAATCCCAATATCATTATCTCTCCTCCACCATAGCCTTCTTGGAGCATTTTTACCCAGGCAATGAAAATTGCCTTGGCATGATGAGAAGTGGTTGTCAGAACACAATTCTCACCACCTTCTCAATTTGGTGAATTTTCGGGCTAAATTGATTCACAACAACGCAAGTGTGATTCGATGGTCGGAGGAAAGTGCGATTTTGGGGAACTTCGGGTCAAGATCTAAATGTCGCTGATTCATTCATCGCTGTCTCCAACCCAGAGCTATAAAAGGTCGAAGCGTGTCTCCTGGAGACATGCCTCCGTTCCCTCATGCGCTGCCAACGGTTCATTATGCATCTCTCGTGTGTGCACGTTGGACACCGACGAGCTCCATTCGGACACATGTTCTCTGTCGAGGTTTGCAAGCCTTGGCGCCAACATGTTTGGTGCCAAGTTTACTCATTCTCGTCCTCACATCTTCAAACGTTATGTGTCATCCGGTCATTCTAGAGGATTGACCAGATTACAAAAACGATTCACTTTGAACGGTAACATACTCCATAAGAGAAAGTTATTCATGAAAATTATATGACTTTGAACGCTAACATAAATCCATAGGAGAAAACAATTCATGAAAAATACATCAGTTTGAACGCTAACATAATCCATAAGAGAAAAATATTCATGCAAAATATTTCACTTTGAACGCTGTCATAATTAATAAGAAAACGTACATCTTTGAACGCTAACATAATCCAGAAGAGAACAATATTCATGAAAATTATTCATTTTGAACGCTAACATCATCAATAGGAGAAGATTATTCAAGAAAAATATATCACTTTGAACGCTCACATAATTCATGAGAGAACATTATTCATGAACATTTTTTATTCTAAAAGCTGACATACACAATAAGAGAAAACTATGCATGAAAAATATATCGCTTTGAAAGCTCAAATAATCCATAAGAGAATATTTTTCATGAAAAAAATAACTTTTTGAACGCGCACATAATCAATAAGTGAAATTTATTCACATGACTTCTCATTATTAATGAGATTAATTATGCCAAGATGTGATGAAATTCTTACTTAGTTCAATTAGTTGCATATTGTTAACCGTTACGTTAGATTTTAGTTAAGTCTAGCTAGTTTAATTATAATTGTTTAGTGCATTTAACATATTACAATATAAAAGTGATACTAGCTCTGAGTGACACTTCAAGATTTTCAGTAGAGTACTTGTGTTTCCATTGACGGAAGACTGAGATGAATCACTTACAGAAGATGTATATTCTAGTATCATTGATTTTTTATATTCTAGTCACATGCAGTAAATCGCTAGAATTTAAATAGAATCTCCCTGATCAGCTTTTGAATCTAAAATGTACATGAAAAGTTGCTTTGCAATGACATATACGTCTTAGCATGGCTTAAAGTCACTTGATATTGAAATCATCAAGTTGAAGATGAAAAATGATGTGTTAATTATAAGTACAGTCCCCGTTAATATTGCTAGCACAATGGTACTGAAAACTCACACCCTAGCTAGTCGCACCATTCACAATGCATCATTATTGAAGATGAACAAAAATACAGACCATGAAGTTGTTTATGATTTTAAAGGAGTAGATAATTAAGCGCAGTGATCTCTAGTCTTATTCTCACTTTAAAATGCCCTGAATCTAGGAGGTTCATACTAACCGTTCACACTCAAACACCTCTCCTTGCAAGTACACTCAAATATCATATTAAAAATAAAAATTTCATGGATAGAAACAAAAATTCACATAAAATTTTGCCTTAAACTTATTTGAGAGATTTTCTACTAACTCTCTTTTTATATCAGCTTAAATTTTTCATGAAAATTAATTATGTTATCATAAATATTGGTTTATCAAGGTTAACATTGATATGTATCAATTGAAAATATTAATAAAATTAACTTCCAATACGTTATAAATATATTTAGAGGTTTTAAGACATTTTTAAAAGGATAATTTCTCCAAAAAATAAAACTATCAAATTGTTCATCAAGCAAATGTAAAGTTTCAAAACATTCTATGGTTGCAAACTGAATATATGATAAAAGACAAAATAATGATGCTCATCTACAAAACCTCAAATACCATCTTCTTATTTTGCCACTTAGATATTAAATGACTACATTAGTCGTGAGTTCTAAAATATTATCAAATTCTTTGTAGATTTGCACAACAAATACATTCATAAACTTATATAACTTATGTTAATGAATACATTTTTTACTAGTTTGGCTTTATTTTCTTGGCTAATATTTTCATTCATGCTTGACAAAAACTTCAATTGCAATTTCAAATGTGTCAAACACAACAAATATATAATTCAACTGTTCCATGACTTAACTTGACAATTCTTAAACTTAACTTAATTGATTGTGAGCAATATGTATTCAAGTACTTTAGATAGGGTTAATTTTTTTCATTATCTTATAAGCAAATTTGAAAGTCAATCAAACTAAAATACGCGCTTTCCAATAAATGAGCCTTCTTTTTAGAATATTTATTAATATCCTATTATTTCCTAAATACTCATTGCTTTGCTACACATGTAATATTAATGATTCCATTTCAAAAAAATGACAACATAAAAATTGCAATTTGAAATGATAGTTTTGATAAAAGATATAAAATTGAATTAGAAATTGTCAAATATGCCAAACTAGATGATTTCTGGAGAAAAAATAATTTCATGCCATCTTTTATCTTTTTCCTTAGCTGTCATATTTATGTCATAGATATGATTGGTGATAATTTATAAGAGATTTAGATTTAAAAGGTAAAAAAAATAAAATTTAGCTTTTTTGAAAAACAAAAACATGTACAAAAATCTAAAAACAGCAAAATCTGTAATCTTGCGATGATCCTTTAAAAAGTGTGACTTGCAATTTTTAGTTTCTACATATAGAAACGGAGATAGATATTATATTCTGTCATTATAGATTTTATAATGATAGAAAATATATTACATATTTCAGTTTTATAATATATTACTATCCAAAAATATCATCAAAGTATTAAAATTGTATTTTTAAAATATAAGAATAGAAAAGGTGGGAAAAAGTGCAAATTTCAAAGATAAATACATATAAAAATATATTTTAACAGGATATAAAACCCAAAAAATGACAAAAATGATAAATAATAAATTTTAAATTTGAATTTATGTTGACTTTAATTTGAATTTTTTTCATACATGCATTTGCAACAATAAAACTATCTATCATAAATTAATAAAATCTTCAATTATTATTATTTGAAAAAAAAATTTAAATAAAGCTGAATCATCGGCAATAAAATTATTTTAATTATCAATAATTTCCAAAATTCCTTTATATCTAACGTTTGAAACATACATCTATGTGAAAAAAGAAGAATTTTATTTTTCAAACAAATTTTTTTAAATAGTAAGTAAGTATCATCATCCATCAGATTAAGATAAATGGATGAAATATTTTCAATAATCATAAGTACACAATTCTTCTATATTTTTTTATAGGATTAAAAACTCACATTTTTTAAGATAATAGAGAAGATTATTGATGAAAGTAACCTTATATTGAATTAACCTTTAAACATCAAAATATAGCTTATAATAATAACAAACACAATCAACAATATAAATGAATCAATATTTTCAAATAATCTTCATTTTTATCAAAATGTTGATCCATGAATTATAAAAATTTACTTAATTTATATCTATAATGTAATGGAAATTTTATTCTATATAAATATATGTGAACAATTTTTTTATTTTTTTTTAAACTCTTTTTGTATAAAATTAATATTTAATCAAGATTCATCATATCAATATTCTTGAAAATTTCATTCTCTTGATAAAAATCCCAATCAAAAATTTAAGAAAATGGGATTTATTGGATATATATTTTGTCAATTTATATATTGATTATAAAATAATTACATGTATTACTTGAGTCTAAATATGAAGTTAATTTTGTTAATTTATTTTAATCATAATATCATTGTCAATTATGAACATTTTGACAAGTGATAGTTTCATTCTCAATGCTATTGGTAAATATTTAATTATATAAAGAAAATCTACATTGGATACTTAAAATATATTAATAGAAATAAATATTTTGAAATAAATTATAACATATAGATGATAGTATATTCCAGCATTATATGTAAATTTTAATAGATAATTTAATGAATAATATTAAAAAATTTAATAGAAATTCAATTTTGGTAAAAACCAATTATGGCGTTTTTAGCATTTAAAAAAATACTTAAAAAATTATGTGAAAAACATATATGAAAATGAATGTATATGTTTGTTTATAATTTGCAAAAAAAATATTTTGTTTATTAAAAAATTTCAAAATTCATTTTTAATTTTATTTCAAAATTTCAAAAATATCAAATTGCATTTTATCATACCCATTCTATTTTTATATTTTTTTTATAAAAACTGTGAAAAGTTGATACTTTTTTAAATTTAAAGATTGAATTTAAAATCAATATGTTATGACAATTAGAAATGTTTTAACACATGATTAACATATTGTCTCCCTTCAACTCTTTACTCATGTATGTTATAGTTAGGGTGGGAGTCTAAGCATACATGAAATTAAATACAAATAATCGACACTATCAAGGCGAGGCGAGGCAGCGTGAGGGAAGTGGTTGAGAACTTAAGAAGACTTGCTTTGTAGACTTGTTTCTAGACCTGCAAAAAAATCTCGTCTGCTAGGTTACTTAGTTGTATATGTTTGTTTGTTTTTCTCTTTACTACTTCTACACTAACAATTATGAGACTAATTATCTTTATTTAATCTAATCATTTGTACTTATGTAATTCAAAGAACTATTCTTACCTCATATTGAATTCAAAAATCAACGCATAATTGAACTCACACATATAGCAATGATTCTTAAAGAGTACAAATAAATTATACAATTTATGATATATAAATTATAATATATGGTACATATTTAAGTAATAATTTTTTTTTCTTAATTAAAATTTATAATTTATTATAACATATAATTATTAAATAAAAACAAATAAATTTTGAAAAATTAAAAATCAATTGATAATAACTTAAATTCAAAATTTAAAAATATAATTATTTTGATTTATTCAATTGCAAAGAAAGTCTTGTACTAAAGTTTTTTATATAATTTTTAAATATATAAAAAATATTTTATTTTTTAATTATATGATTATGAATACTTGGTACAACAAACTTTTTTAATCATAATAAACATGATTGTTTATTGATTACAAATTAAAAGATTTGAATTTTACATTTACTTTATTTATTTAACAAAAATTTGTTAAAATATTGTGATATATATCTTGATTATTTTTTAATTTAAATTTTTTATTATTTATAATGATTTATCGCTAACTTTTGAATAAATTATCTCTTGGATAAAATGTACTACGGTATCTATTGTTTGTGAATTGTGAAACCTAAATAGTTGTAAAAAATTAGCTTCCAAAGGCTGCGCAATTATAAATGATGTTGTGCGAATACGTATCGCCATACATCTTACATCGCTCACATGCTACTCACATACACATACACACACATACACACATATAAGGCGCGAGAGAGTACACACTCAGTGAAAAGTACGGGAGATTCCCCACAAAAATTCTCGTTGGTCGTTTACCCTACTGACAAAACCGTCACCGTCAC